AAAAAGGAATTGTTTCTCCAGTTTGAGTTTAATGCCTTCTTTAATTAGTTATGATCGATATTAATTTCGGCCTTTGACATCGGCTACCCGAAGTTAAGTTCTTCTTTGTTAAAAATAAAAAAAGACATACAGCTGTGTTCACTGAAATAGCAGTGCCCACGGACCTGCACGTTTCAGATTGGAAAATACTGTTACAAACGCTATTTTCATATTTTTTTTTTTCATAAAGGCTTAGTGTATTTAAATATTAACAATACCACAATCATTTTATTTATGTAGGTAACATAAACCTTATAGAAGATATAGCTAATAACAACAAAAAACGTCTATAATATGCCGATCATTGAAATAGCAGTGAAAAACTAAAATTCTTCATAAATTTAAAAATATCGTATAAGAAACCTATTTCTTCTTAAATTCTAATTGACTATGATCTAATATTTTGTTAAATAGCCTTTAGAAGCTATCATAGCCTCATACCTGGGTGGCAAGGAGTCCACCAAGTCTTAGCAACGCTTGAGGGGAATATGGCCTCATTCCTCCATCACAAATTGCCAAAGCTGTGCCTTAAAAGTCGGAAACTTCTTTAATACGTAGCCCTTGATGTCCCCCATAAGTTTTCGATCGGATTTATATCCGGGGACTGTGCAGGCCATGGCATTGCATCCACTTTTTCATTAAGAACCCACTCCTTGGCCACCTTAATGGTATGATTAGGGTCACTGTACTGCTGAAATGTCCAAATTAATGGCATATTTTCCTCAGAATACGGCTGCAAGACAGTTTTTAATATTTAGAAATAAACATAATGGTCTTTGATCCCGCAGATCATATATACGGAACCTACAACGTTGTATGAAAAGTATACCCAAACCATGATTTTTAGGCCATCGTGTTTTACTGTCTTCAGCGTATGGTTTGGGGGGCACTATCTATTTGGAGGCCTTGTCTTGTCCTATTCCACCAAATAAAACCAGTTTGGAGTCATTTGTCCAAAGGATATTACGCCATTTGAATAGTGGCAGTTCAAATGGCTATTGGTGAACTCCAATCTGGCCTTGATATGACTTTAACCAAGCAGTGACATTTTCCATGGACTTCGCGAATCTAAAATTTATTCAATAAGTCCCCGGCGAATGGTCCCATGACTGATTCCCATGCCAATTCCCGCTCATATATCCCTAGAGGATGCAAAAGGACGAGCTTTGCTGAAGCGAAGTACGCGTCGAGCCTGTACAATTGTGGTTTTGCGAATCGTACCTCGTTTTTTTGGGTTCGGTTCATATTTTATGACTTATAAACTATTTTAAAATAACAATTTGAAAGATTTGGAGTCTCTTTACATGTTTTACCCTTCTTTCTAGGCTAAGTAATCTAATACCTTTCTCTCATGGAGCAGTGAGGTCCTGCGCCCACTAAAATAATTTTTTTTGCGTTGTAAAGGTGTATTATAGTATAAACTATAATAACGACCGTAATTAAACTAATTTTTTACAAAATTAAAAGAAATTTTGGCACTTTTTGCGAAAGAAAATTAAAAACTGCTATTTCAGTGATCGGCCAAAACGAGCTGCATATGTGAAAAAATATCAATAAAACTTAAAAATAGAGCAAATCTAACGGAATTTTTTATCGATTCTTATCTTTATGTTCCATTTTACAAAAACAATGTGCAATAGATTAGCTTGCAAAAAAGAATATGTACAAAAAAAGGTTTTGAAGTTGTTCCTCTGTCGCGCTGCTATTTCAGTGAACACAGCTGTACATATACATACATATATGTACATATATAATTTTAAAAGACTATTGCTAAATGTGTCTAATCGAAATAGTAACATTTACAGATAGCAACAATGTTGCTAAAAATCTAGTGCGCAAAAATGAAATTTACGATTACTCCACGTTATCAATGGGCGACTGTTTCGGACCTCCAAGAGCATAACGGTATTTCATATAGTATAAATCCAGACTATAAGCATTTGAATTGCCATTACAATTACGAAAGCACACCTGTCCTCGGCTCCAGTCCGCCTTATCAGCTACTATGTATATATACTACCTAATACTTACTTACTATATACTACAAGCATATATTAGCGTCGTCGTTAAAGCTACATTGTTGATGCACGTGTAAACCGTTAAATATCAAGTAAAACTATGACTAGAGATGGCTTAAATATATTCGACATATGTATTTTAATATTCTTTAAACATGTTTATTGCTTACAAGCTACTTGTTAAGTTTTATAAAACAGAAAAAAAAATAAACAAAGTAATAAAGAATACAATTTCCGAAATCTGGTCAAGCTGAAGTCTGGTAATTTGCTTAATGTGAACAGATTGTATTATTTTTAAATGTTGAATTATATTTAAAATTAATTTAAAAATTAATTAGTTGATTTTAATGCAGTTTCAATGTAATGCTATACCATATCGACACTTTTGATTGATGTAAAGTGATCCAGGTTACGTTACGTCCATTTTTGAAAGCTTGTTGAATTCTTGACAAAGTGGAAATTTTATGACGTCGCGCCACTGGCTGCCTTTATTTACGCAGTTGGCTTTTCTCCTCTTGCACAATTTTCCTTACTGGCAAAAATAAATATAAAAAAAAAAGAAAAAAAAAACCTTAAGAAAGTAACACGCGCAAAAATTAATTGCGCAAAAGTCAAACCACGAAAATATTTCAAAACTTATTGAAATCGAACTTGGCGGGAAAAGCTCGCAAAATGCGCGCCAACTTGTTGTTTTCTTTTATCGCTGCACTTGTCCATACCTTTTAGTATCAATATGTTGAGGGATATATCGATTTTATATAGATTTTAGCGTTTAAATGTGAAATATATTAGGTTAAATATATTTTCATCTAAATATAAACTTACAGTGTCAATATTTTTTCCATAAATCGTAATTTTTAGTATTTTAATAAAAAAAACTAAGGTATTTTGCAGTACATAATTTAGTACAAGGTATCATCTAGTCTGTATGCATGCTGCAAGTTTTTCTGCTGTGTCGCGGTGTTGCGAAATCAAAACAAAATGCGAACGAGCGAAAGAGAGAGAGAGAGAACGAAAGCAAGTGAAAGAGAGAGGGGGCGAAAAGGGCACAGGGCGGAATGCACGCGCCAAAAACTGCAATGGAAATTGCAAGGGGATGACGGTGAGGTGATAAAGGGGACGGGGAAACGTGGAAATGGAAATCAAAGCGAAACGTAACGGAATCAGCAAATCGGCGGGCGGTGAAAATTGTAAAAACAGCAAAGAACTTTGCGCCGTTTTTGTTTTTGATTTTTGACCACCTGAAGATTTTTGTTGATTTACCGATTTATTATTGTGACATTTTCTTAATTACTAATAAACTATTTGTTCTTGTATTATTTTGGTTATTTTTTTAATATGAACAAATTATTGGTTAAATATATTTTTTATTTATTAATCAATGTTTCAAATTAGGTAAATTCATAAATATTTATTAGAAAGGCATGGAACTTGGAAATTAAAATGTGAAATGTAATAATATTAACTCATAATTTAATATTAAACTAACTATAATTATTTTAATTTTAAAAACATAAATTTTAAAAGGAAGCTTTTGCTTCTTTCATTTTAGTTCGTTCTTTTCGCTTCTTTGTTTTTATTTTTTACCAATTTCCTGGCATAATTTAATTAGAATTGGGGTAGGTTTGGCTCACACACTTGTTATTTTATTTTGTTATTTACTTCTTCTCGAATTGTTTTTTTCTCGCCGCAAAGTTCAGGGTTCAATCAACTGTCAAACTGAAATTAGAGTTGCGAAGAGTGGAACAGAGGGGGAAGCGTGAAAGGTGCAGCTTAAATTACAAACAAAACACAGACAGAAGACTTAATAAAACAAAGGAAAAAATAGATAAAAGGGACAATGACAACAAGCGAAAGGAAAACCAGGAAAATATGTAGAAACAGATCTCCTTTGTTTAAAATAAATACCATAGGTATAACCTGCAAATTATCTAAAATAAAACAATAAAGTTTATAATTTGTTACTAAAAAACATAACAGAACTTTAGTTTCATTTTTATTAGCAAATTTCACAAACAGTTACAAAATGTTTAAACTATTTAAAATTTGTATTTATGGATATCTTTTTTTTGGCAAAAGTTAATACAAAATAAATTTGTTTTTATTTTTTTCACCGCCGGCTTGCTTTGTGTTTGTAAACAAATTTCCACTCAAAACGCGCGAAGCAAAACAAAAAGCGAGTGAGTGAGAAAACGTGAGAGACACCGGGAGAGAGCGTAGCCGGCATTTGTGCAAAAAGAGAGAGCGGCCGGGCCATTATGCTCTCCCGGCTATTGAGAGCAACCGTCGGCTCTTGAAAAAGCCTCGGGTTTTTGAGTAAATTTATGTTATTTTAAAAGAAAATTCTGTTAAACACCCTCTCAATTTGGGATTTCCTTACGCAAAATTCTGTTATCGAGCAAAATTTACGAGAATTCGACCCCAAACTAACATTCTCATACAAATTTGACACTGTTATTCTGTAAGCGTGTAAGATTAATACTGACATTTTAACATGAACGTTTACTCTTGCTGAATATTAATTAAATAAATACCGATTATAAATATAAACTTAAAAATATAAAAAAATGTGAGAAATTAAACAAAATTAAAGTTGATTTTTTAAAATTAAATTAAATATTATATGATTGCCGATTTTCCCGAAATAAAGAGGAATAGCTAAAGCATTTGAAAAATAGAAAAACTAGAAAAACGTACTAATCTCTTTAAATTTTGTAACAAAAGCTTAAAATAATTCGGCACTTAAGAAGGTTTTCGATTAACAATTATATGGATAAACTCGGGAACACTTTGAATCGCGCGGCATAGGCATCGCAGAGAGTCTCTGCCTGAGAGTCGGTGTTCAGTGGTGGTGGTGCAAAAGCAATACGACTCGAGTCGTCGGTTCCGTTCAGTGTGTTCGTATTCAGTCAGTGGGTTTGGGACCCGTTTCAGCGTTCACTTAATTTCAGTTCAGTTTTAGTAGCGAAGCGGAGACGTTCTGCTGGAACAAGTTTTTTTTAACAAAATTTGACGTGGACTCTCTCGCTCTGTGGATTTTTGGCTGTTTTCCCGCCCAACAAAAAAAGCAAAGTTCTGTTTCTGGAAATTATAAAATATTAAATACTAGGCTAACGTCCAAAAATAAAAAAATAATTAATACAAGCAAATCACAAACAGTTCGCTAAACACAAACCACTGTTACAAATCTGTTAAAATGTCACACGGGAATAACCATAGTGCTAAATCCAGAGAATAATCGCAAAGAAAGTCCTATTAAACCGAGGAAATTCGTGCAAAACCAAACTACAGTGAAAAACAATTAACTTAACAAGCAAATCAAAGAAAAAATAATAACCAAAAACAACAAACTAAATAATAATAATAATACTAGAGGAAAATCGGAATATATTCTCCCTGGCGAAGAAAAAGATTCCAAGAATTGCAACGTTAAAAGCCCGCGAAGAAGAAAAGGCAAACGAATTTTTTTTGGTGTCCCTTTTTTTGGTGTTTTTGACTACTTTTATTTGTTTGACGCAAAAAGTGCGCAACAACACTTGTGAGACTTGCGAATAAGGAGAGATAAAGCGCGAAAGAGGAGAATCAGCAAACGTCGTGCGGCAGCAGAAGAAACTTAACCAAATTGGATTACATTTACATTTAATTGAATAGAACACACACATCCTCAAAAACATACACCGACAACTGGATACCAACACTAACGCAGTCGAACCGTCTAAGTAACGGGACTTCGTCTACAAAAAGGAAAAGCTGTTGAAAAAGGTGAGTGCGAAGGCAAACCAAAGGAAAATAAAAGTGCACGTCCTCCACAAAACTAAAATTGTTAGTGAAACATTAATTATCAGTGCAAAAGCAGAGTTAGAAAAAAACTATGAGAATTTCAGAAAAACGCGAAAAGAAGGAAGGTGAAAAGGAAGTTTCTCGATTCTAACTGTAATTGGGCGCACACTAGTGAACAAAATATCGGTTGTTCCTTTTTGTGATCGCACACACACACGCACTTTACAATATTCGTCGGTATTTTCCTATTCTGTGACAAAAGTGAACATTATTTTTAATTGCTAAATTTGCATTAATTTTTTTTTTGCAATTAACTGACATTGAATTGTGAAATTAGGAAGTAATAAAATACAAAAAATTAATCTCTGACGAGACCTTAAAAATAGTTAACTTTTGTTCTAATAGTATTTAAATTCTTCTGAATAGAATATTTTTAATATAAACAAGCTCATTAATAATAAAAAAAAAAAACTGTTGCTTATTAAGTATAATATATTAACTTGTGCGGCAAGAGAACTTCCTAATTCTTCAAAATAAAAAAAATGTAAATCCGCAAATTGTGTTTTATAACATTACATTTAGTGACTACAAGTTTTTGCAAAATATCCCGTTTGTTTTGTGTTGCGTGTGTGTGCGTGTGTTTTCAAAATGTGCCCTGTTTACCGTTAGTTTTCTACCAATGCAACGGAATGTAAAGGAACACAAAAAATTAAAGAGAGAGAGAGACAGATTTATCAGTTGAAGGTCAGGCAAATATGAGAGGAATGAGAATTGGAATGTGAAATGGAATATAATTTGGCGGAGCTTCTCGCAGGCATCTATCTTTCTTTCCCTTTTATTGTTGTCAAGCTGAGGAATCGAAAGCCCGAGTTCCGAGGAACCGTTAATAGTGTATAAATTGAATCGCGTAAATAGCTTTATTTTTATTTTTATTATTATTTACTTCCTGATAACATTTCCTGAACCCTCGCGACTGACGTCAGGCAACGAAATAAAAATTGAGACACGTCAAAAATAGTATATAATATAATAATTAATGTGGAAACCAAATTATTCATTTTAAATTAAATAAATTGTGAAACAAGAATTCATCAAAATTTAAATCAAGCGTTTTTAGAATATTATAATTTTTTTTAAACTTGTCTAGAAAAACATCTTTAAATATAAAAATTTTAAAAAACGTTCCCTCCTTTTGTTAATAATTTAAATAGATGTTTAATAATTTGGAATAATTAGTATATAATAAGATGGTATTTTTCAAACTTATGTTTAACGTTTTTTTTTTCCCCCATTTCTCATTTGCAGACAGCGCCAATAACTCAGGAAGTAAGATTTAGACATACAGATTAAAAACGGCCGCACTGGCTCTATTCCCGATGGAGGACTTAACCACAATGAACTTTGAATATGACCATGAAAACTTGAGCTTAGACGATTATCTGTTTTTTGATGGGATGATACCCAGCATCCATGGCGATTGTTTAAAGGAAAATGATCCCTACGGCGAGGGCTTAAACTGCTGGGAGGAGGATCTGAAGCCGGAGATCCGCAATGCAGACCTCATGTGGTCGGCGACGGCTGGCTGCAACAATGCCACAAACATCAGCACGAATGGCAACAACAGTGCTGCCTCGTCGTACAGTGAAACCAGCGCCATGGCCTTTGCCGAAGTCTCTGGCTCAACGAATCCCTACTCTACTTACCAGCGCCAGCAGAGCCAGACACAGCAAGGACAGACGCAGCAGCAACAGGAGAGCACCGACGATCAGTTCCCGGTGGTCATTAAGCAGGAGCAGGTGGATATGGACTACGTCTATGCCGAGAAGCGTCGCCGCCTCAGCGGTGGCAGCGACAAGAAGTCCCAGTCCGAGGCCCAAAACGAAGACCAATTGATACCGCCGGGCGGTAGTCTATTGCGCAAACGTAATCCCCCAATGATGACCAGTCTCTCCTCCACCCGCAAGGTGAGCGAGTTGAAGAACAGAAAAATTCAGAGACCAGACACTCCACACAGCCTGAACGACGAGGTGGCTGCCCCGGAGTTCCGGCATAACGTTGATTTGCGAGCCTGCGTGATGGGTAGCAACAACATCTCGCTGACCAGCGATGTGGATGTGAGCAGCATTAGCCAGATCAATGGCTATCTGCAAAATGCCGCCAAGGGTCTGTTCCCAGCCCGTTTTCCCATTAACGATATGAACGATGTCCTGGATGTTCTCAATCAGGAGGTTCAGTCCCAATCCAAGCAGACCCAACAACAGCAGCAGCAACAGGCGGCCATCGATAAGGGGGTCAGTACAGTGGCCTCTCCGCCAACCACCAGCTCCGACTGTGACTCCGATGACGGTGAATCAAATCACTACGCCCGGTTGCGGCGCAACCAAAGCAGCAAAATCATCAACAACAGCTACAGCATGATGCTGCACAGTGATCACAGCTACACGCGCTGCAACGAAATGGTTGATGATGGACCCAATATTGAGACGCCCTCCGATTCCGGTGAGTTTTATTTATTTTTTTTTTATTACTAGGTTTGTGCTGGATCCCGGTAACCATCAGAGTTCGAACTATATAATTTGAGATACACGATAGACCAGGTTCCTTGCATTGCTATATAAAGTTTAAATTAAAAATTAGGGGGATCTAAATTTAATTTTGTGAGCTTCTTTAAAAGAAATTACTCAGTTACATATATTGAAAATATATATTATGGGAAGATTATAGATCATAGAGTTTTAGTAATAAATAATTACAGTTGTATTTTTGTATTGGTATTGGTATTGTATTTGTAATTGATTTGTTATAGTTAAAAGCAATCAACTAATTATAGAACAGGATATCTAGCGGGGTGGGCTGATTATTTTCCACCGCTTTTCCCACACACATACGCTTTCATTCTCTTGGGCTAACTCGCTGTTTTTGTTGCACATTCAACTAGTGTTCGCACTTCCGTTTCGTGTGGGCGTTGCAGAGAGATACACTGAAACCAACAAGTCACAACACACACCGACCGTCAGGCAGGCGGCGGCGCACCACCACCGGAAAATCGATCGGGGGAAAAAAAACGCCTACGTCAACAGCAAACGTAGTAAACTTGTTACGTTGCTGCACACGCCCACGTTTGTCTGGGGCGATTCTCATTGATTTTTGTGTGTGCTTTTCGCCGTTTTCCGTTTTGCCGTTTGGGCTTTCCTTTACGATTTGCTCCTCCTTACCACCCACACACAACTCGGAAAATGTTGGCGCGTGGCTTTCATGGCTCATTGTGTATACTATGTGTGTGTGAGTTTTTTTTTTTATGTTTTTAATGTTTTTCCATGGCGTCATCCTCTCCCAAAAAAAAAAAAAAGTTATCATCAGCCAAAAGGAAAAGGGGATGATGTTATTGCGCAGTACTACGCCCAAAAATGAAATAAAAGGGGAGCTATGTATGTACTATATGCTATATATAGAGGAATCTCGCGCTCTCTTTTGGGCCAACACCCCAACATTTTCTAGGCTTTTCCTTCTGTCGCCGCCTGTTGTTGCTGCTGTTGTGCTTTTCAAGGATGTCTGCCCGGCGTGGCCACGTGGCAGACAGCCCCAAAATTTTCCTTCCTCTTTTGCCGGCATTTTACATATATACATTCCTAATTTTTCGGGGTGGTTGCGACATTTTGCTTTCTTATTACCCTGTTTTTATATATTTAATACCAATATAAAATATAAAAGCATATCGATTTCAAGCTAACTTTGTAATAATATAATATTTAATATATGAATAAAAAATAATACCTAAACGGAAAACCTTATAAATAATAAATAAATTATAGTAGGTATTTTGTTAAAAAAAAATTAGGATATCCTGGTGCCTGTTCTTTTCTCGTTTTCCCCGTTTACGAAAATTTTCCGACCGGGTTCAATGTCTCCTCTCTCTTTTTGGCGCGCAAATCTTTGCTATCCATTGAGCAACCCTCGCACTCGCACACGCGCGCCCCGTCTCGCTCGGTCCGCCGCCTCTCACGCTTACGTCACGTCACGTCAATCATCTTTTACTACGCTTTACGCTACAACTACAACTACGATTACGACGACGGCGACTACGACTGCAAAGGCAAAAACAAAATGCAAATACAAATGCAAATAAAAAAAAATGCAACTATGCCAAATAATACTTTACTATTTCTTAGTTTTTAATTGCCATTAAGTAAAACTAAACGGTACAACAAAAATATTAAATAAATATTAAAACCAATAAATCTGAATAATAATAGCAACAACTGCATAAAACAAATAAGCAAAAAAATCGAAGAAGGAAACAAGCAAAAGCAATAAAAGGCAACCAGTCAAACACTTGTTTCTCGCGCTCGCTCTCACTCTCTTCCGCGTGCTCGGATGCCGGCCGGCCTCTTCCCCCCACTCTCTTGCAATTCGCCGAGTGCAGTTAAACCGAGTGCAGCCAACAACAAGAAACACACACACACTTGCGCAGCGCCGAGACACTTTTGCACGTTTCGCACGTTTGTTTTGATTGTGTTGTTGGCTTTTGGCTTTGCCTTTGCGCTTTGCCTTTTGCTTTTTTGGGTGTTGTCTCTGCTTTTGCATTCGCATTTGCGGCATTTGCTTGTGTTGTTACCAAGCGCTCCACATATTAATGTATTTATTTTTTCCCGCCGCGAGCGATTAGCAAAGAATAGAATAAAATTAGAAACAAAAATCGGCGGGTGGTAGGAGGAGGGCGGGAGAGGCAAAGTGTAGCATAAACTGAGTAGAAACGCCCACGACCACTGAGCCCATTTATTTATTTTAATTATGCGCCGCCGCAGAAAATTAATAAAAAAAAAACTGATTCATGTGTAAACGAAGAAATTTCACTAGGAATTTATAAGAAATTAATAAAAAAAAAAAAAGTAATATAAAAATATAAATAAACTTCAACTCAATACTAAGTTAATAGGCCTTTTAGGAAGGTAAAAATCCTAGGACACCAAATCTAATCAAATGTAGCGTCTGCTCCCCCGCATCATATTCTACGGAAGAATTCCATGTCATCATCATCGCATTCTAAACATCATAATTTTTCCACTGCTAATTTAGCAACTAAAAACTTGACACAAGTGGTCTAAGATTAATTCTTTTCTTTTTTTGACGCCCAGCAACGCGACCTGCCTAGAGAATTAGAAATAGATATCGAAATAGAAATAGCAGAATAGGAACAAAAAAAAAAAAAAAAATGAAATCAGGTGCGTGCCGCAGATTAGCAAATATGTATGATCTACCCATCTCGCTTCCGCAAACGGTTGATTAGCGCCAGTGCAAGCGAGATGGCAAGACGCAGACACACGCACTTGTATCAATATCAGTGCCTCTGCTGCTGCCTTCTTTTTCTTCTTCTTTTTATTTTAGTGATGTGCTGCACAGTTCACTTTTCTTCTTCTTCTAATTAGTATAAAAGCTTCCCTTTTAGCGAGTGAAAGGGAGAGGGCGTGTCACGTGCGAGCGGGAGAGGCGGCGGCGGTTGGCAACAGGAAAAAAAGAACTACGCACAATAGATTTGGTTATGAGGGGGTGCGAGAGGGAGAGGGCACGACATGCGTAAGTTGGCGCCTCTGTGTGTTTTTTTTTTTTTTTTTTTGGCATTTCGCACCTTGCTTTTTGTGTGTGCGTGTTTGGAAAAATGTTAATGAACTGAACCAAGGTCAGCTGGAAAAAGTGCGTAGAAAACGAAATGCGCGAAAAAATAAAGAACAAAAAACCAAACTACCAGAAGTTACTCACGGAAACAGTACAGAATACAACACAATAAAAAAGAATAAAAATAGAATAATTGCCTAAAAGGTTTAATTTCCTTTTTGGGCTTTATTTTGCTGTTTTCACTTTCATTGCTTTGCTTTTCGCGCTATCTCTACCTTCTTTGCATTAATTTCTGGCAAAAAGTAAACAAAATCGATGTAACAATCGAAATTTGAGAGATACCAACAAATAAATAGCAACAGAAAAATATTAGCCTAAATATAATACGACTTTTTATTAAATTTAACATGAATTGTAAAATATAAAAAAAAGTTTATACATTTTGAATAATAATGCTTTTAAACAGTTAAAATATGTTGGTAACAATGCCCTGATTTTTTTCCATCAGCACTTCGCCTTTTTTTTTTTTTTTTTTTTTTGGCAGTTTCTTTGAGTTTCTTTGGACTTTGTGTTGCTAGGCGCGTCTTTTCGTCTTTATCTCTCTTTCGCACAAACGCTAGCTCGTTGCTTCCAGCCCACCGTCGTCTCTTTCTGTGTTGTACGAACTGCGTCGTAGTTGGTCTTGTTGTTGCTTTATTCGCACACGTGTAGCAATAAATTGTTATGCTCAAGGTCGCAATAGCGGCGACGGCGGCGGCGATAAAAATGCCAAAAGCCCATACAGAGCCACACAGATAGAGAGAGGGTGAGAGAGGCAGGCACATCTGGAGATAGAGAGAAGAGGGAAGAGAAGAGAGCAAAGCTTTTCCTCTCTCTCTCTCTCTCACGCACTTGGCACAGCTTTATTTATTTATCTTTTTTTTTTTTGCAACGAGCCTCCCTTTATGAGAGATTTCCTGCCTTATATGTATGTACATATTTACATATAACTATATTTCTTTATAAATCCCATACATTTTATGCCATACAGGGTACCCTCGATAAATATAAGAACCCCAAAAAACGAACTTAAAGCAGTAAACCGTGTTGCAAAGCAACCAGAAACTTCTCACTCAACGCCCAAGAATGTTGCAGAAATCGTGAAGGGGCCAAAATGTTGCCAGACGCATTTTCATAATTTATGTGCAAGTTACATTATTATTACATTATTGATGCGATGATGCTGTGCGATATGTCGCATTGCGACGCCGGTCAACATTAGTCATTATATATTGTACTTGGGAGGGGCGGGCCATAGGAAAAGGCTTAACTTGATGACTCACATCCTGCTTTTTCCTTTGATGATGAAATTCCCATTTCCCAACTACGTCACTATAGTCAAGGAAAGGAAAAGCCGAGAAAATGAAATGAAAAGGAAGCAAAAGTGCAACAAATGCGCGTGGGAAAATCTGCCAAAGCAAAACCGGCAGCAGCGGAAGCATTTTTTTACCCACAATACTATTACAGTCAAGGATATTAAATTTGAGAAGGGTTAAACATTTATATTAAAGGTTTTATATTGAGTTTAGTATATGGAAAAAAAAATTCACAGCTTGGACTCTCTTTTCCATATTTTTGTTTATAATAATATTATAGATTTATATACATTGCGACCCATTTCCCTGGCCACAACTGTGCGGTAAAGCTTGGGTCTGATCTGGTTGATGTTGCTTGCAGCCTGGATTTGCGGTTGAGCGACATGTTGCCAGCAGATGTTGCTGCCGTACTTGCAATTTCTGTTGCAGATGCAACTTTTGTTGCTGTTGCTTCGCATGAGGAGGCGTCTGTTAACCTTTGGCTTAAGTGCACCATGTGTTGCAATTTATTTGATTTTCATGCGAAATGCCAACGCAAAAACTACAAGAAAAATCAGGCGTGGGAAAAGGCAAAATGTGCATTTATTTTATACACATATATATATTTTTTCGTTCTCGTTTTACTATTTCCAAGAATTTTGCGCGTATTCCGATGCCGTAATTTTTGTGTTCACCAGAAATCGTTACATTTATTATAAACAAAATAAAGTGCGGGCACATTCGGAATATTGTATGAAATCATTCCCGATGATAATGATGATCTAAAGCCAACACAATTCCCCCTCAATGAACTTTCTTCTAATTATTATTATTTTTTATTTTATTATTTTTATTGGTGGGGGAGGAAAAGATACATACATACATATATAGATAGATAGATAGATAGATGTGTCATAAAAGTCGACGCAAAGCACAGAGTAAACAAACTGAAACCGAGGCGAGTGAACACACAACACCGCGTTTGTTATTAAACAAATTTGCCAAGAAGAAGGGTAGGGGGGAGGGCGAGGGAAAACGTCTCCAGACTGATGTTATTGTTGTTGCTGTTATATGAGCGCATTTGTTTAATTTTACGACTTGTGGTACAGTGGTGGGAAATTCAAATGTATTGAGATTATTTTGAGATTTTCCGAGTAATTTCTATATTTTATTTATTACCTTCTTTTAATTTGCAATATATATTTATATATATTCCTAGGTCTCATTGATGACTCAATTTTGCTTTCATATATACTCCATGGTAGCGCCAAGTGGTCTTAATTTGTCCCACTGTGCCTTATTTGTCGTTGACTTTTTTTTTTTTTTTTTTTTTCGTGTGTCGCGCTGCTGCTTGTTTGCTTCTTTTATTTTTATAGGCTTTTTAAAAAATTCTTGTCTGTATTACATCATTTTGCTCTGTCTCTGCCATTTCAATTTCATTTGTCTGACCCAGCCCAAAAGGCTCGGATTTAACCCTTTCTGATATCTGAAGCATCTCATCTGCTGCATTTCTGCTGCTGCCTTGCCTTTTTTTTATATATTGATGATGATGCACTTGTCCCTTTTTTTTTTTTTTTTTTCTGTTCCCTGTTCTCTGTTTTGGGTCTCCCTTTGCACTGTCTGTCCGCATCTTCCCCTGCTCCCCCCCTCTCTCTTGCTCTCTTTCTCTTTTGCTATGCTAATTTTATAGGGCAAAAGGCGTCTGTGCTTATCATACCCCCCGCCCTGTATATATTTCTGTATAGGAAACACCGACTTACTCCTCACCCTCCCCCTTTTCCTTAAAATACTGCCTGCACAAAAGTTGCGCAACATGTGGCGGCGTGTGTGCATTTTATTTGCAATTGTAATCCATAGCAGCAGCAGCAGCCACCGCCGCTTCCTCTTCAGCATTGTTGATACCCTTCTAAAGAGTATGGGTAACTTATGACAAAACTTTATTATATTAAATATTTTAATTAGAAAAAAAAAATTCCACTTTGATTGGTTATACCCGCTCATAGTTCCTTGGGTTATGGTTCGAGATGATCTTTAAGAAAATAATTTAATTGAAGATGGCCTCTTAGATTCTTGAGTAAACCAAGTCAAACTTGGTATATGTTTAGCTCAGGCTATAATACAATCTTTCAACAAATTTAAGCTCAATTGGAATATAAATTGTTAAAAAAAATCTACAAAGGGTATCTGCGAGTGTTCTGTGTGCAGCTTCCATTCTCCTCTGCTGTCGATTACGATTTGATCTTGGCTTCGTTCGCTTAGCAACAAAAGTTGCTGTCGTCTCGGTTATATACATATATACTATATATGTATATATCTGTATATGTATATAAAAAAAAATTAAAAGTTGCTTTGTTTGGTTTTCTGCTTCTTCGACGCGGTTTCTTGTATTTTAATGCAGCAAACGAGTTTGTCTGGTTTTTTTTTTCTGTTTTTTTTTTGGATCCAGAGAGATACTATATGAGAGGGGGTGGGGGCGATACGATTTGCGCGGAATAACCGTTAGTAAACTAAGGCACAACCCTAGTTTTTATTTGGCGCAATGCTTCTATTATTATTATTATTATTTTTACTATATCGCGAATTAAATGCACTTTTACAGAGGGGGGGAAAAAAAAGTGGTTGCTCGCTGCATTGCATATTGTATTTAGCTTTATCACTAGCCATCATCCTCCATTCATTGTTTATCGGCGCTGTCTGAGTGAGTCTGTTGCGGTCTGTCTGGAAATTCCCCTTTCGATAAATAATAAAGCTGTTCGCTGGAAATCTCGCTTTGACAGTTGTTTTTCATTTTGTTGCTTCATTTATTGATTTTTAGTAGAAGCTCGCTCGGTATTGTTTGGTGCCGTGTGTGTTTGTTTTTCGATTAATTACTTGTTTTTTTTTTACATGGAATTTTAGCAAGTTGCTGAAATTTCTGGGAATATGCATAAGTGGATTTCTAGATTCCTGTGGGTTTTTTTTTTTTTAGATTTTTCTATAGCTAAAAAATGCCTTCCGCTTGCTTTTCTGACCATTTTTGGTTGCATTCCTTGGAGTTGTCCGCTGGGCATCTTTTTCCCCAACGTATGCATCATTTTTTCATTATTATTTTTTTTATCTTGCTGCGTTCCTTGGCGCTGCTAATGAAAAATGGCCGACGAAGCAGCATTCTTCGATTTATTTTACGAGCGGGGAGCGAAAAGGGGGAAATCTTGGTGGTCTGTTGGTTGTCTAGCCAAAGTGGAATGATGACGTTTGCAAACAAAAAGAGGGGGAAAAAAATACAACAAAAATACCAAAGAACTTGTCTTGACTCCTTTTTTTTTTGATATTGCATCTCCTCTTGCTGGCTTCTCCTGGAAAGAATCATCTGACTCATGCCCACTCGGCCGGGCCTCTCTTTCGCACCCATCACACGGCAGGTTTCGATTTCGTTGCGGTTTCCAGTTTTATTTTTATTTTTATTTTTTTTGCACTTGATCTTGCAACTTGTTGCACTTGTCATCAGTCTCCTGCCCCTTTTATCGCCCATTCCTCCTCACCTGGGTTTTATTCTTTATTTATTTTGTTGTCAAGCGCCAAGTTGTAGCTGCTTGCTTGCACAGTTGTTTATTTTTTTTATTTTTTTTCGCAGACAAAGTATTTAATGTTTAATGTACAAAAAAAAAAAAAAAGTAAAAAGTTATGTTTAAACAGTTGATTTGCTTAGGCGAGGTGTTTTAATAATAACAATGCTAGGAGCGAGCAAAGGCCAAAATTTAGAATTTTAAAACCAACAAAAAAACAAGAAAAGAGTAGGAGAAATATTTGAAATATTTTAATACAAATAAAAATAATATGGAGTAAAAACAATAGCTTTCGGGGATTTTAAAATAAACAGAAATTGGGTTTTTGTTAACAATCATACAGAAAATCAAATATTTCCTTATCGATTTTTAAAAAGTTGATACTCGATATTCCGTTTGATATATTAAAACCAAAGATATCGGAAAATTAAACAAGTAAAACCAATACAATTTTATCGATATTTTTCGATATCAATATTTTAACTTAAATTTCGATATTTCTCGATTTATAAAAGTTTACTACTTCTTCGATATAATATTTCGATTTCGATATTTGTATCGATGATTCTCCCCCTCCCTGCAACCTGCAGCTTCTTCTGCTTATTCTTGGTTCAATGGTCGCAGCGGAAACGTTAAATTAGCGAAACGGAAGAAGAGAGCCAAGCCCAGCCGCCATGCAGAGCTTTCTCCAATAGCTCCAGCTCTCTCTCTCTCTTTCTCTCTGTTGCCAGGCGGAATTCCGTAGGATGGAGAACAGAATGGCAAAAAATACATATAATAATAATAAAAGAAGGGAAAACAACGACCAATGACGTCAACAACACACAAAAAGGGCGTCGTCTGTCTGCCGCCGACGACGACGACGCCGTTGCCGCCACTTGAAATTGAAATCCGTGCAAATCTATTGCTTCCTGAAGTCTGATACACTATACTAAATGCCACATACTATTCTATACTATATATACCGGATACGGAATACACCATATGCGCGGAGGAGGAGTGCCCCAAACGTTGACACACTAATCCGCTTTAGCGCAGTCCTCAGCTCAGGCCTCCTTTTAGTTTAGTTTTCGTTTTTTTTTTTCCACCTCCCAAGTCATAATTCTTAGCCAAGGGTCATTAAACTTGAGCGAAAGAAAGAAAAACATTTGCGGGGCTTTAGCGGAAAACCGGGAAAGTAAATAGAATAAATAGGAATGAGCCAAAGAATTGCATGGCGGTGGGGTGGAGGAGAGCTCTCTTCGTGATGGGCTTGGTAATTATATTTAGCTGGAAATTAAAGCCACAATAAGGGAAATTTCTTGCCAGTTTAATATTTTATTGATTGCCTTGAAAAAAAACAAAAACCCCTTACTTACCAACCCCCTCTTTTTGGTTTGTTTTTTATTATTGCAGATGAGGAAATCGATGTGGTATCCTACACGGACAAGAAGCTGCCCAACAATCCCTCGTGCCAGATAATGGGAGCTTTGCAGACCAAAATGGCCCATAAGATATCCGTGGACCAGAAGAAGCCCCGCTACGGCAACTACAATCTGCCGTATACGCCGGCTAGCAGTAGTCCGGTGAAGTCGGTGGCCAATTCGCGTTACCCGTCGCCGTCAAGCACACCGTATCAGAACTGCTCCTCCGCCTCGCAATCGTACTCGCCGCTGAGCGTTGAGTCCTCGAGTTCAAGTAGTTCTAGCTCTAGCACGAGCTCGATATCCTCGGGTTTGGTGGCCAACACCACCCAGAAGGGGCGTAAGCACTATTACCTGAATGTGGCCTCCGATGGCATTGGATCGCGCCGTATCATGCAGTCGTCATCGTCGATGTTAAGCAAAAAGTGTCGCGGCAAGAAGGCGTCATCAGGAGCAGCGGCGGCGGTAAGGGCAGCAACAGCGGCCAATATCAGCAGCAGCAGCAGTTCCTCGTCATGCTCCGGATCGATATCGCCGGTGGCCCAGTCCCAGCAGCAGTCGTCCTCCCTGGCAACCCACAACTGGCAGCGCCAGAGCAGCTCCACTTCGAGCTCGGGCCTGGCCAACAGCGGGCGAAATAATAACCAGTTCAGTTTGGACGAGGCCGATACGATCGAGAAGCGTAATCAGCACAACGATATGGAGCGCCAGCGTCGCATCGGTCTTAAGAACCTGTTCGAGGCGCTCAAGAAGCAGATACCCACCATTCGGGACAAGGAGCGTGCGCCCAAGGTGAATATATTGCGCGAGGCGGCCAAGCTCTGTGAGCAGCTGACCCGCGAGGAGCAGGAGCTCAGCCTGCAGCGCCAGATGCTGAAAGAGAAGCTCAAGCAGCAGCAGGAGCTCCTGGCCAGATTCCGTTTGGCCAAGAGCGAGCCGCTTGAGGCTAACAGCGGATAGTAGTGATGATAATGTAGTAATGATGATGACCCCATAGAGCGGCGGCGTTAGGTCGTAACTTTTGATTTACAGATTTCCTTATCATTTTTTTATTTTTTTTATTTCGATTTTCAGTGCGATCCAAAGAGATTGCATCTATTTTTGACCTTGACCTTAAACGTAAAAAGGTTTTTTTTTTTTTTGTTGTGGAACTTCAATATCAGTTATAGGTAGCCTATATATATATATATATAATATGTTTAATACCTTTTTTCGGGCTTGCTTTTTTAATGTTGGTGATTTAACAACAAATTTGATTTCTTTAATGTGATATATATATGATTTTCTTCTTAACCTGCGATTCGATTTCGAAGAAGAGTATGAACGGATTAGAAAGGGAGAAACGCTGATCGGGAAAACTGCGTTTCCCTTCATTATATAATTTTTTTTTATATGGAATCACGTTGAAGTGTCTTTTTTTCGTCGCTGCTATAATTACTACATACAAGAATTAGGCCTTAGAATTTAGCTGTAAATTAGGTTTCTGTATATAACATATATATATATTTTAATATCTTATAGGGTTTAGCTATTATTTTTTTTTTGATATATTAAATTAGCTACTTAACCATGAAGTAAACAAAATGGAAAACAAAAAACGAAGGAAAACTACAAAAACAAAACAAAAAACAAGGACAAAGAACCAAAACAATGAAAAGATAGAAGCACGAAATGAAAGGAAAAGCAGAGCAAAAACGGGAATAGACACAAATATATAAAATATATACACGTATATAAACAAAAAGAAAAACAAAGAAAAACGGATACGGAAAACAGACAAAAGTTACAACGAAAGAGCCACAAAGAGGAGTTTAGAGAGCGAGAGAGAGAGAGAGAGAGAGAGCGAGAGAGAGGAGCACACAGATCGGAAGTAGTGAGAACGAATTGAGATCTATATCTTATAGGATTTAGTATAGCTAAAAGTAGAACTTTTGGTTGCTAAAAAACCCTTCAACCACCCATCCCCCAAACCAACTTCAGAAATGTTGAGCCGGCTCCAAAAAAATTCTAAAAAATGGTTCCCCCCCCCTAAACTTCTTGACGAAGCGATTCGGAACGGGACTATTAGATATATACGCTGCTATTTACGCTATATATACACCTTTATACTTTGACTTTAGTTCGATAGTTACTATATATATATATATATATATACCTTTTTATATGTGCGCTTGATCCTATGTATATATCTTTACATATGTACGAAAGACGCATCCTTGGAGCAGAAGCAAAGAACCCCAACAAACCAACCAACCTCCTCAAAATGCTTTTGCTTAGACCCTCAGATTCAGATTCAAATATATCTGTTAGAACGACGACATCGTCGGAGAGATACATAGATGATAATGATAATGTTGAAAGGAAAACGCTTTTTATATATATACAACCAACCTCCCCCATCCCCCACAAAAACAAACCACTTGAACGAACTCTACTGCCTATATAAAAAATACATTTTTTATTTGCTATGAAGATATATGTGAATATATATACAATCGCTATATATATACATATATAGAGAACCTGTTTACAATCATACATTTATATTATTATTATATTACTATATTCAGTTTTTTCTTTTTTTTGCTACTTATATTAATATATTATATATACATAAATATATATATATATTTTTAACTGATAACTATGCATATGAAATGCGCAAAAACTTAACGAAAGAAAGAAACACGGAATTAAGAAACCTTTAAACTATTTAATAGTGCTAAACTAAAACTAAAAACTAAACGAAAACCTCTCGGGATCGATATAGTAGGAAGAAGTGAAATACATAGATAACGAAAAGAAGGAACGAAAGAAGGAACGAAAGAAAGAAAGAGCGAGTTGTGGAGAAATTGGCTGCAAAGAGTTTGTTGTTGTTGGAGTAGCGAGTAACGAGTTACGAGTAACGAGAGATATGAACCCTTGACCCCCGACCCCAAGAGAACTCAAACTTTTGTGAGCTGTTTAACTGTCGATTTTTTGCTAATAAGTTAATATTGCCGCTAGGCTATATATATATATATATAATATGTTATATAGAGATATCTTCATATATACGTATATATGATGATGAACGATTATATTATACCAATATCTAAAATATCAACTAAATAACTTACAACTACTACCACAACTTATACATATACATACTAAAGGGACATGAAACCTAAAAGCAAGTGAAGTTTAGAGCGCATTCGTTGAATAGGGATAACGAAGTGCGATAGGTAACGAGTGTCAGCTGTTATTTAGGTTTAGAAACACACACACACAAACACACATGATATGCATATATATATATTAGGCATGGAAATTGAATTAATTATGTGCGAGACGTTTCAACGAAATTTTTATACACGAGTTGTAGGCTTATATACTATACCCATATACAATATATTATTATATATTTCTTATACCTTTTTATATATATATATATAATCAGGATCAGTCCCATGAAATATCCTCTTTTATTTTCAATACGCCGCCGCTTAAAAAAAAAAAAGAAACTATAAAAAATAGGAACTTAAATACTTGCTACTTTTTTCTTTGGATTATAATTAAACACGAAACTTGTTAAATGAAGGGAACTATATTGTTTCAACCTTTAAATGTACACACACTGTAAATAGCAATCTCGTTAAATAATAGTTACACACAACAAACACACACACACACACACGAACCGAAAAGATGGAATTATTTTTATAAAACAAAAACCCCGGAGAGAAAACACAAAGCAATAGACTTAAGCGAATTGTACAACGCGAAAAACAAAAACAAAACTTCAATAAACCAACACACACACACACAAACACAACACACCATACAACACACCACAATATACATAAACAAACAAAATACACACACACACACAAATGCACCTATTTTCCTATAGTACATACAAGAAATAGCTTAAACACACCAATAATCCTTGTTTTCTTTCAACAACAATTTTCACCAACAAACAAACAAACCGTACAAATTTACGATACAATAAAACAAAAACAAAATGTAGAAAACAAATGACAAGAAACCAACAAAACAAAGCGAAAAAGTGAAGAAAAACTAAAGGCACCTATTCTTTGTTTTTTTTTTAGTCCTTTATTTAATTTAAACGAATCAACTTTCAAGTGAAACAAGCATTTTTTATACATAATTCTTTATTTCGATTTCAATTCGAAACATTAAAAACAAAAGAAAAACGAAAAAAAAAAATACAATGACCAAACCAAAATCCTCGCAACACAAAACAAAATGAAAACAAAAAAACATTAAACAATTTATAACTAAAAAAAAGGAAAAAGTTTTTATGTTAAAATATATATATACATCTATATATATATATACATTTTTATGATTATGAAATTTTTTTTATATTATACACACACACAAACTACTATTTGAATTAGTTGTTAAAATTTATTATTATTAAACGAAAAACATTATTTGAAACAACAAATGAAAGAAACAAAAAATATGTAAAAAAAAACAAAAAAATGAAAAACTTATAAAAATGAATTGAAAAAAAAAAACAAAAATAATAAACACTGTTAACACACTGGAAGAAAATGTATGATCCTATATAGACGAGCATAATTGAAATATTATATGTATATTTAAACAGCTTTTTTTTTTGTATTTTTGATTATGCTTACGGCTATTTTTTGGATAAATATTTTTGAAATGCAAACAAATTTATGATTTTCAATGTCAAAATTCTGTTCATTTTGGTTATTATTGCTTATTAAATATATATATATAAATGTAAAAATCGCAAAATAATATTGATTTACAACAATCAAGCTAAACAACAACTCCTATATAACTATATATATATAATAATTTTTAACTCGTTATGTAGTTACCTATTAATGAAAAAACAAAAAAAAAACAAATTGAAAACGAAAAAAAATGAGAAAAGTAAACACAATAATTACATTTTATGTACCTCTTACATATATAAAGTATATATATTACACACACACACACACACACACACTTATATATATATACACACACACAACACTACTTTATGTAGAGAAAAACGAACCGTTTAAACATATATAAATATATATATATATTTTTTTTTTCAAAATTTATGATTATGGAATTATACAATAAAAATATTTCAACATACCAAGAACGAAATCAACTTTTTATTTTGTTTTTATTTCAATCCCATCTGCTTTATATCGAAGTTTTCCAGCTCTTCCACTGAACGAACATCCCCGATATGTGGAACAAGGCTTTTGTTTTCCTTTTTCATTTTCAGGTTATATTTTGCATTTCAGATTTCTTTGTTGCAATTTTTCCGATTTGATGTTTATAATCAGTGGTAAAAGAGAAACAAGTACTACATTTTTGTTTTGTTATTTAAACATAATTCAAAAAATGTTAGAACACATTGAAATATAGAACTAACCCTTATATATAATGAACTAGCCACACTATACATTTATAAAAAAAATAAATAAAAAATAGCTTATGAAAGCTATAACATAAAGTCAATCGATATTGATCCAATCAATTGTTGCTAAGCAAAAAATATTGATATATCGATACTGTATTGATATTTGACATGAATAACGATAAATAAATGGAAAATCGATAATCGATAATCGAAAATGCGATATACATAACACAATATTATGTTTTTCAAATGTTTTACCATATTTAAAAATTCCATAAATTTAAGTTTACAATATTATCAATATTTTAAAGTTAATAGTTTTTATTTATAAAATTTCGATATAGTAAATTGTACGATATTTTCGATAACATATATATTTCTATAAAAAATGGTATTGTTAAAGTTGAATTAAGAAGGATCTAAATCGACTAGGCTGTTGATTTAGAATCTAAATTTTAGATCAAAAATTTGTATATCCTTTACTGCATTGCAAACTTCTAGTGAGGAATTTTCCAAAGTGAATTCACATTTTCTTATTCTAGTATTATCTTCCCATTTTTGCCAGTTTTCACTTTCATTATGTTCGTCAGACCGCAGTGTATGATTCATTCGCAAATGATTCATGGAAAAAAGGGGTGATTTCGGGTGGGAAAATTGCTTTTGTCGCCGTTTCTAATCAAGAGCTTTGGGTGTCGGGCCCCCGCGCATTCTCCCCCACACACACACATTCACATTCTGCACTTTATTCGTTTGAACAAATTAAGTTAATTCAATCAGAGTTGTTGTTGTTTTTGCAATTGATTATTTGTTGTTGTTATTGTTGTTGTTTTACCGGCAAAAAAAACAAAATCAATTTAATGAAATCAAAGCGACAACAAAGGCAGAAAAGAAGCAGAGAGAAGCCGGCCGGGAAAAAACAATAACAATAACAGTAACAACCAACACGATAATAACAATATGCATTTACACAAGCTCTCTTATTTTTATTAATTTTTTTTGTTAATATTGTTAATTTTTATTTTTGTTTTTACTTTTTCTTTAACTGCACATAAAAACAGAAGGAAAACTAATAAATAAATAAATGTCATGGCATTCAGATGCCCTTTTTTTGAGTTTAATTTTATATTTATTTATTCAAGTATCATTTTTATCATTTTTATTGTTTATAATGTTGTAAATTATTTAATTAACATTTTTTAAATAATTTTTTCATTTAAAGGAAGGAATCGACAATACTTTGCAAGTCTTTTCGTGATTTAAACAAAAGAAACTATTTTATATAATATAATTTATAATATAACTTTTTTTTTTATTAAATATATTTGTTTATATAATTATATTATTTGATTATTGAAGACCAGGTTTTAAAGCATATTTTTGAAATATATAAAAACGTAGCACTATGTGGACTTAAAAATAATATTTTTGATTAAGAAAAACCCAATACCAATCCAACTTGTCATCTTAATTCAGTATTATATCAT